CAGTCTCCCATAAATACACTCTTTGTGCAGTTACTCAGTGCTGGTTTCTCATCTAACTTCCTCCAACTCTGTCTCACTGTGTTTACCTCATCGTGATTGTCTCCCCCTGAAGTCTCCTTGGTTTCTGGTTTGTTTGACTTTTTTCATGTTTGATTTTTGGATTTTTTTTTTTATTCCTGTCTCAGTTGTTTGTTAACACTTCATTAAATTCACAAGAAACTCACATCTGCCTCCCTGCCTCTGCATTTGGGTCCTCTAACCACAACCAAATCTTGACAAGTCCTAACTGTCTTTATCCATGCTGGGTCAGATCCTGATGTTTGAAAAAGGAGGCAGGGAAAACAAAATAAAGCATTAGCCTCGCTGCATGCAGTTAGCTAAGCCTTGTAGCTAATTCACGTCCTGGAACAAGAAAGAGTGTATCTTCTCCATCTCTCTGTAGACTACTGATTAATTTTGATGTTCGGCTGATCAGGTCCAAACCCTTTTACCTCCAGCTTCTCTTGCTAAGTTTGCTTTAAGCGATTTCACTTACGTGAATATTGGCCAGCCGCCACTGCTTTAAATATGAGCGTGAGCTATGAGAAGGAGCTGCCGTTCTTTATTTAGGCCACAGGTGGCAGTATCATTAGAAAACTCTGTAATGCCTCTCTCATACCCACTGGTAATTTCTAGGAAAGTTTTAAAAAGGAGTTTTTCACTACTGTTATCAAAATACTTTAAGAAACAAATCTAACAACCCTCTAACATTTATCAGTTTTAGCATGTGGATTAATACAGATGATATCTGTATAAATGCTGCTGTATTAAGCTGGGGGAGTGCCATGCATATATTAAACTGGATCTTTTATGAGGACCTGCAACACTAGAAAGTAGAGGCAGGTAGAAGAATATCAAAAATGTTAAAAACTGAAACTAGTTTCCCTCTAACGAGAGATAAGATCTAACTAGAGAATGCTGAGCCAGACCTCAGAACAAAAGAAAGAAAAAACACTTTTACTGAATCTGACAGCATTTAAAAGTTTTTTTTTTTTTTTTTCATGTTCAAAAGCTTTGGCCTTGGCGGCAGTCTTAGACATTCATTCAGCTCAAGGTTTTACTGCATTAGCAGTCTAAGCATATTGTTGTAAGATCAGGGACAGAGCTTTGTTTTTATTTCAAGATTCTATTAATTAAGTGTCAATAAAGAGATCTGAATCACTGTAGTCATTGACAAATTTTCTTTTCCAAAACCTGGCATTTGATAGAAAACAAAAGGAAAGTAAAAAATTATAAACAACCCTCAAACCAGATGCCTCAGTTGATACTTTCTTTTTCTGGGCCATGCTTCTGATCTTCATTCTTATTTGCCTTCATTTCTGTTTTAACATCCATGAGAAATTCTAATCTGCTGTTATTCCAGTAACATTCCCCTATAGTTATTATAGAGCTGTAATGTGCCTGAGGGAGTTCATCATGAAAACGCTACATGTCTGTTTGTAGCTCTAGATACCTCTTTCTGAACTTGCCAAGTGATTCTAACACACATAAACAAATGTGCAACTTTTTGGATATTTTATTCTCTTTCTGGATGAGCACATTTATGTTTGGAAAAGAGAAAAGGCTCATCCTCACATCAGATAGGCTCCAAATTATATGCTCTAGAAACTGTCCCTTTAGAAACAAAACTAAAAGTATTGGGTACCTTTCAAAACATACAGGTTACTTTCTTGGAACTTTTACACCTCCCTTTGCAAACATATTGGTTAAAGTTCTAGACGCTTCTGAATACTTGAAGTAAAAAAGAATATATATGTTTATTCAGCAAATCTGATGCAGTGCTTAAAGGCAAATGTATCGCAGCGTTTAAAGTAAACTTGTCCTGTAAACATTTCTGTATTTTGATATTTACAGAGATCTTAGTGGCAAACAATAAAACCAAAACTCTTATCCACTTTCAATCATTTTAAGCTTGACAGACTAAATTCCCAAACAGATATGTCCTTTTACTTTTAAGTCACATGGCTAATTAACAGAGATAAGAACCAGTCGATGTTGGTCAGGGTGTCCTGTATCAGATCCCTCATGCTGCTTTATCAGCATGTGGGTTTTTTTGTTACATTGCCCTTACATTGCTGTCATGCCTCAGCTAGTACAATGGCTCATTAGTAAAACAGCCCTATTGCTTAACTTGACACTGCTCCACGACACAAGGAATTTTTTTGGACATTTTTTTATGGTGAAACCTTAATTATCATGTAGTAAAGTTATAATAGTTAAGTGTAATTTGTATGCCACTCAGGTGACTTACAACTTTATTTGACAAACATTTTCACTTCTTTTGGCAGAATGAATACAGCAGCTAAATATAGATAGATCATGGCACCCTTTAAAGGCTTTATGACCAAGAAGACTTCCCTGTCCTCATCTAATGAAGTTATTCTTCCTTTAGCACTTTGCATGTCCCAGCAACAAAAACCCTTTTTTGTGTTACTCTGTAGCCAATATTACTGTTAAATCCACTTAATACTCACTTTTTATCATATTTACAACCAAAACAAGTGAAACGGTCCTTTATTTGGTGTCGTAGATACCAAGTTTTTTGTCTATTACCAGTGCTGCAAGCCTACTACTGAATGGTTTTTATTATGGGCAATATGATGCTGACAAGGGACTGGTGAGAAATATAATATGGTACAATGTACATATCTACTTTACATACATTATTTTCTCTGTTTTTGTAGCATCTAACTGTTTTACATAAAATAAAATAAACATTCTGAGAAATCCTTAATGTTAAACACTGATATTGCCTTTTTTCCATACAATCCAGCTGTAAAATACTGAAATATAGGTTTGTTCCCATCCTACACAATAACAACCACTTGTAGTGAATCAAGACTTTGGATGGCATTCTCCCTGATCAGAGTCATAAGGTGCCGACTCCACAATCTGTGCTAGTCTTTCTTTTTGATGCTGATCAAAGCTTGACGTGTTGATAATCTGACAGAGCGATAACCTTTAGCTCCATCACTGACATTCTATGCCGGTGATTACGTTAGCTATAAGGCTTTTTAGTTTAACCCCCACGTTCTTATGTTTTTTTTTTTGTTTGTTTTGTTTTTTTTTGTCATAACTCCATAACATGCTTCCCATTTTTCCAAAATCTCAAAATATTTAATTGTGACTTGATTTCAAAAGCACAAATGGAGATAAGAAGAAATCATTGATCAAAACAATACCTTCTTGGAACAATGGAAAAAAAACACACTAAAAATTCCAAAATAAAGGTCTTTTCATCCAGCTTAAAGACATTGTATTACTTTAAACATGCCTTTTTTATTCAGTCATTTTTTCACAAATATCTGCAGACTAACTAAGAATATGTTTTATATTTGAAATGCTTTTGACTTCTTTGGTAGTATTATGTAGTAGTAGTAGTAGTATGTTGCATCATTCTAAAAGACGAACATACCAAACAGTCTGCATAAATCCTCCAACAAGATTAGAGTTTGACTGGTGACTCTCTTGGTCTTCCATATGGCTAACATCTGTTACCCTCCTCAATGGCTGCACAAGCTGCTGCTAGCTTAATACTGCCAGTAGTTTTCAGAAAATATCTTGCCACACTGTTTTGAGCTTGTAGGAAATTGTATGTGCCATGCTGTTGCTTTTACTTGTAGTAGTTAGTTGTACTGACTTCTTTTGTGCCTTGATGATTGTAGCTTTCACCCACCTAGGAAAAAGCATTTCAAAGGCGACCCCCACCCACATTCCCTTCTTCTATTTTCATCATCATATGGACCTTATAGCCTGTGTTTTACATCACTATCGGGCTATTTGTTTTTAATACCATCAGTCAAGGAAACACATGAAATATAAGCCTATGCAGTGGTCAGTTGCTAAAATTCCCTTGGACAGTTGGAAGCATGACACATTGGTGGGAAAGAAGAACAAAATAATTAATTTATATTCATTTAGGATCAAGCTCAGAGTTATGTGAAGCTCATGGTTTTTAGGAAAATGACTAGAAGCTGAATTTCACAATAAAGAGATCAACGAAAGCTGATATAAACATTTAGCAGCTTTCATTACAGGTTTCTTCCTGAAGATCAAGTCTTCCCAGTTAAAAAAATTTGATCCTCAAAAAATGACAAGTGTTGAGATTTTAGACCGATTTATATAAATAGATTGAAAACAAAGGAAAATAACGCCTTTAGGCTGAATAAATTCAACCCATTAATAGGCTACTGGAATCAATACTTTGTGTTACATCAGCGTAGAATGTATGCTTTGGATATCATAAATATCTTATTTGTATTTCAAAGATGTTAAACAACTAGTGTATAATGTTTTGTTTTTAATAATTTTTATAACTTCCTTCCAATCTCGTGCTTTTATTTTCTCCATTAAATGATTAAGCCTACTTTATCACATGTAAGCAATGCAGCTTTTATACAGGTGTATGATTACTGCGAGCACATCATTTACACAAACATTTTTTTTTTGCATTTACTTAATCATAAGTAGTTATTTTAAAAGAATTGTTTCATGTTAGCAGGGTAGGACATGAAACAATTGTTTTAAAGTAACTAAATATGATTAAGTAAATACTCAAAACGGTTGTATTATTATTTTTTTCAGTATAGGGCCATAATGTTGGACTCAAATTCCTTGTAATCCTGCCAGCTTTGCATCTTTTTTTTGTTTTTTTGTTTTTTTTGTTCAGGATCCTATTCCATGTACCATGGCGATGAATTCATTTTTTTAATTTCAGATATTTATTCACTATCTCTCAGATTCTGCTGACCATCTCTCCTGTTTATCTCTATGTAGTTTTTAGGCTACCTCCATCTACACACAATGAGGCCTTAATGCTTTGGGTCTCAATTGCAGCAACCAAAACATAAACAATCATATGTTCTACATTATGCATGATCGATTCTAAGCGTGTTACTTTGAAGCTCACACCGGAAGTTGTCTTGCATACTTTCAGTGACTTGGTGCAGACAGTGAGCGCTCAGAACAGCAGCTCTGACAGTCGACTCTGGATCAGCAACAGGAGCGATCATTTATTTAGGAAAGAAAAAATCTTTAACCGCGATTAGAACAACGAAACTGAGATAATAAGTTATCTTTCTTTCCTTTTTTTTTTTTTTATTTGTTTTTTTTTTTCTCACTCTTGGCTGTGCGCTCTAGTTCTGCGGACTTTTCCTGCTGTGATGGACCGGGGCCAGGGACCTAAACGCTGGGCTTGAGGAGCTGCCAAGGGCACAGGGAGAGGTCTGAACCTGAAGGTAATCAAATCAATGTTTTACCTGTTCGTTGCGCTCCTTATACAAAGTAATTCATTCACCTTTCTCTAATTGCGCGTAAGTTGTTTTCTTGAACTTTGTCTGAACCTTTGATGCCCTATCATGCTGACTATGCGATGATTTAAAAGCTTGTATTTCATATGTGGACTGTTTTCATCTTTCATATTTCCTGCGCACTGGCTTCTTTTGGCAGATTTAATTTTTCTTAAAGTTGAACTTTCATTCAACAGCTATTCAAACAATTTATTAATAACTGATTTCTTCCCCTCCAAATGATCTTCATTGGACCACTTGTGTACCTTAATGCTTCAGAAACAACTCTCCATATTTCAAATCCGCTTCTGTGACCACGGGCGGTTCTAGACCGAGGCCGACGGGGGCCAGTTCCTCTGTAGATCATGTCCTGGCCCATGTTATGGCCCCTGTTCCGAAGATATAATACTAAAAGAAATTCTAATGATGATATCCACTGGAACATACATGGATACTGATAGGTCCTTTGGATCTATTTCATTGTTTTCTTAAAAATATTCTGTTTTACTAATTATTTAAAAACATAAAAGTGATAGCTTCAGTGGTATTAAGATAGGATCCCAGTTTTCATCTGCTAAATGTTTTTTTTTTTTTTTCAAAACAAACAAACAAAAAATACTAAAATTTTTACTGCTTAATTTTTCAGTTTTTTAATTCTGATTTTATAGAAAACTGTAATTTTAACTTAGATTAAGTTAAAAATAACTCCTACATTATGAATGTATATTAAACCAATATTCAAAGTAAGAGCTTTATTCGATCTCTTAGATATTTATATAGCTACGGGATTTATCAGTTGGAAGACATATCTTATTTAAACCTAATTGAATGGAAATTTAACTTCATGCAGCTCCCTTGGCCTGTTTTTTTGTTTCATGCTTTTCTGTGCCCCCATGAAAACACGCTGGACCCCTGGTAAATTTGTCCTAGAACCACCACAGTCTGTGACCAGTGGTGATACAGCTTTCAGTCTGTGATCACATTTGTTGTTTATATTGTTTTCCTGTGGACTTATAGGCTTTTTTGTACGTTTCAGCTTTGAATTCTTTTTTTTTTTCAGTTTTCAGAAAATAGCTGCTTCCTCCCTCTAGAAAAAAAAGGTCTCATGACCAACAACTCATACATCAATCACAGTTGGCAATCTCATACTTCTTTTCTCCTCTGAACCATGCAGGGAAGAGTTATGCAGGCAGCTGAGATCCGAATCTACAGCATAAATACCTTAAGGTCCTGACAGTGCAGTAGCAGCACCACCAACTGTAAAACACATGATAAATTTCCCCCTCTAATGTATATCCAGACAGAAATAAGGAGTTTCCAGCAAAGCTCCTCTGGAGAGCTCTCAAACTTTTATTCCCTTTCAGATCATAAAGCACAGTGTAGCATTAACAGTGGAAAACCTATTAAAATATATTTCTTAGCTATTTAAACTTTACTAGGTGAAAGATTTTTAGCTCTTTACCTATCTACTTTTTATTATTATAATGAAATGACTAAGCTGAAACTGAAGATATTATATGTGCAACATCATATATGTTGAATGCTTTACATATTTTGAGCTAATTTAGTAACTGAGGTGAGGAATGATTGGCTTACAATGAATAAAGAGGTTGTAGTAGTATTTTACACAAAAAAAGACAAAACAGTATGTTTTTTTTCTTCAGCAATTGTTTTTTTTTTAAATCTAATTTGATTCAATTCAGTTTATTTCTATAGCGCCAATTCACAGCAAATGTCATCTCAGGGCACTTTACAGTTCAACCAGATCATTCAGTCAAATTGATTCAAGCTTTCTATCTAAGGAAAACCAGTTGATTGCATCGACTCACTGACTCATATGCAATCCCTCACACTAAGCATGCTTGTAGCGACAATAGAGAGGAAAAACTCCCTTTTAACAGGAAGAAACCTCCAGCAGAACCAGGCTCAGTGTGAGCGGCCATCTGCAACTGGAAAACAGGCCGTTCTCCAACATCTATAAACAAAGGTGTTGATCGCAGCAGCACAGCTGATATGTACACACATATATATATATATATATATATATATATATATATATATATATATATATATATATATATATATATATGTATATATATATATATACACACACACAATTTTCATGTATTTAAGATGTGTTTATATTACCTGATCTGAATGAGAAGAATAGACATTTTCCCATGACTGAATTCCACTATTTATTTCTAAATACCCATTATATAGCTTTTATATTTGGGAGTGTTGTCCTAGTGATTAGAGCAGTGTGCTTGTGCTCTGAGAAGGTTGCAAGTACCTTTTTCTTTTTTTATGTTTTTATTCATGTGACAAGGTCAAGTACAAACAATGAAAATAATGAAAATAAGGATTTTTTCCCATTTTTACAAAAACAACAACCCCTCATTCCCTTCCCTTCCCCAGCCCTCCCCAATTCTACAAGATTATGCTATAAATCAGCAATAACCCACATCCTTCCTTCTTACCGTACAGAACATGTGAATAATAAAAAAAAGTATATAGACAATAAAAAAAAAAGAAAAAAAAGGGAGAGCAGCAAGTACAACACAAATAAATAAACAGAAAACACCACAAAACAAAACTGAGAAGTAAAATTTTTCAATGGGCCGAGATGAAGCCTGGAGGAAAAGAAAAAGCAATCAAAAGTCAGGTTTCAAAAGTGGACGCTTCACCCGTCCTGTAGTGTCGTCATTCTAGCTATGTAGCTAATCATGCAGCCCCAAACTGAATCAAATTTTCCAGGTGCCCCCCTCAGATCATATTTAATTTTTTCCAGGTCTATGTGCAGCATGAGATCTTTAAGCCGCAGTGAAGCTTTTGGGGCCCCTGGTGCCTTCCATTCCAACAAAATTCTTCTCCGCGCTAATAGAGAAGCAAAAGCAATACTATCCTTGAACTTTTTCTTAATTTTTTTATGGTCTATTAATCCAAAAATAGCCAATTCAGGACAAGGTGTCAATTTCACATTTAGTGATTCTCCAAGATGTTTGAAAACAGCCGTCCAGTAATCTTGCAGACGGGGACAGGACCAGAACATGTGAGTCATGTTTGCTGGTGACATGTGACACCTATTGCATACGTCTACGACCTCGGGATAAATTTTGGAAAGTTTGGAATTGGTAAAATAAATACGATGGACAACCTTAAATTGTATGAGATTAAGCCTGGAGCAAGATGAACTATTATTTACACGAGTTAATGCTGAGTCCCAGACGCCGTCATCAATAACCCTACCAAGTTCTTGTTCCCAGTCTTTCTTGATTTTATCAAGAGATGTCTCTTTGAGATGGGATATTAAGGTGTATATTTTGGAGATAAGGCCTTTCTGATTTGTGGGAATGTCCAAAATTAAGTCAATTACTGAGTTAGGTGGGGCATTAGGAAAATAGCTGCTATTGGATTTAACAAAGTTACGAATCTGGAAGTATCGGAATAGGTGAGATTTGGGGAGGTTGAATTTTCCACATAATTCGTTGAAGCTAGCAAAGACATTGTTAATATATAGATCACTTAGCCTAACAAGGCCAGATCTCTGCCATAGAGAAAAGGCATTATCAATGCTAGGAGGGAGGAAGAGATGGTTGTTATGTATGGGGCTGTAATTGGACAGTCCTATGAGTCCAAAAGTATGTCTGAATTGGAGCCAAATTTTAAGGGTGGAGACGACAACTGGGTTACATGTATGTTGGGATGGTAGTACCTTTTTCGATCCCCACAGCCTCCACTCTGGGCTCCTGAGCAAGACCCTTAATCCCACGCTGCTCCCTGGGCACTGCACAATGGCAGCCCACTGCTCCCCAAGGGGATGAGTTAAATTCAGAGAGTGAATTTCCCCATTGTGGGACAATAAAGGATTTACAAATGACATTATAAAAGTTGCTGATCAAGTTTTAAATATTAGATTTTCTGTGACAGTACCATGCCACACAGTCCCTATTTTAGGTGATATTCTTTATGAAAAAAATGTAATTTATGCATTTTAAAACATGCAAAAAAGTTTTAACATTAGGCAGCACTTATTCGTCAAGTGCTGCCTAATGCCTGTTTCATGTGGGGACATTTAGCTATTTACATATCTTAAACTAATCCAGATTCCACTCAGTACACTAGCAAGCTGACTTGTAGCTGGTGTAGTCAATGGTTGTTGATTTCATTTTCCCCTTTGATATTTCATACCAACACATTTGTAGTGGTTCCAAGTTATCTCCATATCTGCAAATAAACAATCATTTTTACCCAGTTCCCTTAACATTTGTTCACAATTGTGCAGGAAATGCCCCTATAATGGATAGGACTGAATGCACATCTATCTGTATGACTTAGACTCATCATCTCAGGGTATTCTGTCCTTCAAGGTTCCTGTCCAAGGTCACTGAAGAGTCATATTTTATCTCTGTCTTCTGCAAACATTTTACATTTCTTTTGTATATTTATTTGTATTTTCTTTAGTTATATCCATCCTTTTTACCTTCTATATTCTCCCTATCTTTACTTTACTTCACTTACTTAACCAAACTACCTGAAGGGATATCGTTTTCCATTAGACATCTTGTAGTTCAGTTAGTGTGCCTAAAGGATTAATTAAGCTAGTCAGAATGAACCATCACAGAGGGCATTTGCAAAGGACTGGTATCGATTTAGAAAAGCTGGTTTACAAACATGTTAGAGAATGAAATGAGATAACGACATTTTCTATTGCTTTTGACCATCCGACCTGAAAGCTTAAGGTTTCAGTTGCAGTTTGTTAATCAATACATGGACACAAACAACAAGCTGTAGTGAAATAAAGACTGGGCAAGTGGTAATTTGCTATCTGACTTTTAATCTGTCCAATATAAGGTGCATTTTTGGTCCAATTGTATTTCTACTCAACACTTTGTGGAAATAACATTAAGTTATTGGTAAGTATGTTTTTTTTCTCTCATGGATGAAAC